AGGACGAGGAGGAGGATGGAGGAGATGAGGAGGAGGGAGGGAGGAAGAAGAGGAGGGAGGAGGGAGGAGGGAGGAGGAAATGGAATCAAATCACCTAATGTCTGTGACAGCTTGGTCTACCCCCCACTCTTTCTCCCACTTGAAAGTGCTGGGAACACCTTTCTGCTTGGTGACGGTGAAAACCTTGAAAATCTGCGGGGCAAGTGAGAAAAGTGAAAGAGAAAGGTGGGAAAAATATGTAAGGAGAAAAGTGAAGAAAGGTGGGAGAAATATTGTAAGGAGTCTGAAAGATGTAAGTGATGTACAAGAGGGAGATATGAAGGAAAAGTATGAGAGAAGCAGGTGAGGTATTATAGAGGAGTATACACTCGGGAGGAGTGTGAGGGAAACGTGGGAGAAATGTGAAAGGGAAAAAGGTTTGATTTGGATAGATTTGACATTCATGTGGTACATGGGTTGATTTGTGTGAGGAATGTAAAAGAGCGGGAAAAGTTTAGATGGGAGAGAAGACAATGAAAGTGAAGGAGAGGTTCTTAGCAAAGGGAGACTGATAGAATAAGTTCAAGAAAACCTCTTCATAGTCGATGTCGAAATCAGGAAGAAATTCTTTCATCTGTAAACAACATCAAGTTGCGAACGACTAACATCATCTTTTCTGACCATGATTCCAAACTCTGCGTATCCAATGCTGCTGAGGGAGACAGCTCTGTGGTAAGACATGTTCATTCAAAAGTTCACAGAGAGGACAATCTTGAAACACTGTCAACAAACACTTTTACAGAACATGGGCAGGCTCCTGATATGTGTACAAAACATTGTCTTGATGTTCATTCCATCGAAGTCTCACCTCTCAGAAAAACTGTTTGTTCCTCCGTAGTTTTGTTGAAGCCCACAGAAGGCAAGAAAGATCTCCTGCAAACTTGCTGAGGAGGAGAAGAAGGAACGTTGTGATGTTTGTACTCACTGTGAGAACTGATCGTGATTTTGCCATGTTGTTGGTGAGTTTTCCATCATAGAAGATTGAAACTTCAAAGCGATTTTTCTTTGATGTCATCTTCAATGAAAGTTTGTTAACCAGCAACGATTGCACATCCCTCCTCCTCCTCCTCTTCATCATCATCATCATCATCATCATCCCTCCTCCTCCTCCTCCTCCTCCTCCTCCTCCTCGTCATTGTCGTAGTCAGCATCATCATAATGCCAGACATCTTCTCCAAACCAGCATCTCACCTCCAAGTCGTCCTCAATCTCTTCGAACTTTCTTCTAAAGTCTTGTATCTCCTCATCGTCTTCGATCACCTTCAACCTCCGTCAACCTCCTCCTCCTCTCTCGCGAGTCTCACAGTCATTCTTGAGGAGGCGACGGCTCTGGCAACGAGGGAGGACGGAGCTCTGAAGAAAGTATCACAAAGACACAGCAAGCAAGGGCAAGGATGTCAAGAACAGCAGAGTGACGGACAAATTTACGGGCATACATTCAATCATACAACACATGCATGCGTAACCAACGTACTTCGTTCACGTACAAATACACAACGACTTGATGCGTTCAAGGATGTGAGAAGAAAAGAGAACGGAAGATCCAAGGGTTGAAACAACATCCATGCAGACAAAACAAAAACATCTCTCGATCTCCTCCTCTCACCTTTTCTTCGTCTCATCGTCGAGATCAACAAACTGCATCGCTGCACCAACAGCGTCACCCGAGAAGTTAGCAACATCACAACAGCAAGGTTAGCAGAACAGACCTGACTGCGGCCTGTCGAACAGCGGTCCGAGTGAGTCCTCGAGAGAATCCTGTCATACATACATCAGACAGTCTGACTCCACTGCTCCTCTTCCTACCTGGTACTTGCTGAAGGAGGAGATTTTGCTGTACTTCTTGGATAGGACGAAGGGATTCCCAGTTGACCAAGGGTTCACCTTTTCAGTGACCTCTGCCCACCACTGTTACCTCCTCCTCTCCTCTCCCCTCCTTCTCCTGTCTTCTCTTTCTCACCTCTATCTCTCTCACACACTTACACACACGTACTCCCCTCTCCTCCTCTCCCTCTCCTCTCCTCCGCTCCTCCCCCCTCTCTCCTCCTCCCCCTCTTCTCACTCGAATCATCCGTCGCACTCCACGCTCTCTTCGACAGGTCTAGTTTCCTGCTCGCACAGTCACAGATGATTCAGATCGCAACGCTCGCGGTACCTCTGCCGATGATTTGGGGTCCCGTCCGCACTCCAAGCGCGAGGAAAATTCAAGCGGGATGCTTGAGAACTCTAGAGTGACGTACAAGTCAAGAAGTACAGCATGAGGGTAAGAAGCAAAGTATTCACGTCAATCTCCTTCTCCTTTATCATCTACAAAACCAGTCAGATCAACACCTTTCATTCAATTCACAATCTCGCTGACCGAGCCCAAACCAGAAGCGCTGTTGCACTGAGACCGGGGAGCGGCAGTCATCATGTTGGAGACGGGAGCTGTATGAATGTTTCTCCACTCCCACTCTCCCACATCCTTCCTGTCCACCTCTCCCATCGCATCCTTGTACAAGGATGTCAGAAGCACGGATAGAGCAAGAAACATTCAAATCAAGACAAACTGTGCAGTTTGTCTTGATGGAGACAAATTGCATAATACCTGCATGGTTTCGACCATCTTCGATATCTTGGATTGAGTCATAACACGCGGCTCTATAAACCGGCGGCCGACTCGTCTCCCCTTGCTCAAATTTTCCTCCTGCCAACAAACATCGCAGTCAACGTCAATGGAGTAAAATCAGTCTCTTGTCCTACATGCACAGATATGGGACCAAACATGCTGACAGGCGTCTTGGCGCGCCTCGGGAGCTGATCATGGCTCAACCTGCATGATCATCTTCACATCCGATCGAAACTTTGACATACAGAAATTCAACTTACAGGTTCATCTTTGAATCCAGCCCTGTCATTCCAGTCAAAGTCAATCCTTCCCCAGAGCAACATGAAGGTAAGTGACCTGGCGCTGCGCTGAAAGGTCGTCCCTTAGAACGAGGGCTCATGGCTGCTGACTGCACGCGAAGCGAAAGAACTGATACCTTCGCACTGGCTCACGCCATAGACAGGCGAACAGAACTCAGGTGATAAAGAAGGAAGCTTGAGGAGCAGGAGCAGGAGCAGGAGGAGGAGCAGGAGCAGGAGCAGCAAGAGGAGCAGGAGCAGGAGCAGGAGCAGGAGCAGGAGCAGGAGCAGGAGCAGGAGCAGGAGCAGGAGCAGGAGCAGGAGCAGGATCAGGAGCAGGAGCAGGAGAGCAGGAGCAGGAGCAATATGCTCTAGGAAACGAGTGGACGCAGGAGGGGGGCGGGGGAGCCGTTGAGGTTAAAAAAAAAAAGTCAAAGGCTTCTTCGAATCCTGGCACTGAGAGAGTTCGGGCCGGGCCCGGAGTCCGGCCCAAGAGGCCCGGAGCCACATCCCCCCCATGACCATTCAACTACCGGCCATGAAACCAGGGCGGTGAAGCAGCGCCATGCTGTAGGGATGGATGAGAGAAGATGGGAGGGAAGGGGAAGGAGAAGGAGGAGAGGAGAGGAGAGGAGAGGAGAGGAGAGGAGAGGAGAGGAGAGGAGAGGAGAGGAGAGGAGAGGAGAGGAGAGGAGCGGGAAGGCTGGAGAAGAGGCACAGATGAGATGCTGGGCGGCGAGAGAAGAATTCATGCTTCAACGCGACTGCCATGCATTGGCATCTTGGAAGCTGTAGGATCAGCTTGAAGGGTCTGGTTCAGCACTGCAAGCTTGCGCTTCCCCGGTACGAGATGATGCAGACTATCGGTCGAAGGATGCGAGGGCGAGAGGGAGACGTCTAAGCAGGAAGCATGTGAGGCGAGGGGATTCGACCCACCTTCCTTTCGCTGCTTCCAATGCAAGGTTTGATCCTTGCGAAGCAATGGCTACCTCCGCTCCCAGACTCTTCGCCATGGACGGAAGACATGCTTCAGCTTGTCTCCCGCTGGCTCCCGAGGGATGACGGCAGCGCTGCTGACCAACGCATCCTCACCAAGATCACTGCTGCATCTCGAGAGCTGGAAGAGACTGGAACGCTCAGGAGAGAGCGAGGGGACGACCTGTTGATTGCGATGAGGCTGTCAGGGACGACGCCTGTCGAGATCCTTCATGAGCACTCGCTGGACGACGAGGTCGTTATGGTCCTACGACACACGAGCTCCCTGTGTCTGCAGAGATCCTACCGATGTCACGTGGCGAGAGGGTTGTTTCAGCGAAGAAAGATGTTCCGTGAAGAGAAGTCAAAGATCAACTGGGAGAGAATGTTGAGGTGAGCAGGCTGAACATGATGGCAGGATTGACGAGCGTGTGCAGGAATCTCATCCTCGAGCTGCAAGAGATGGAGGATGAGGATGTAGAAGCTGCTGCCTCCGATGTTCTCAACAGGGTGCAGGAGATGCCTGAGGAGCAACAGAGGGAGATGAAGTTGTTCTTGTTGGAGAGCAGCTGCCCCTTTGCCTTGCACCTCCGTGAAAAGTCCTCTCGGACCATACAGGCTGTCTTCCGAGGGCATCGAGTTAGAGCCTTGCTGCCTCTGCTGGCCCAGAAAGCGAGTTCCATGGTGACGGAGGAGGAGGAGGAGGTGGTGGTGGTGGTGGTGGAGCATGGGGAGGTACAGCATGAAGGGGTAGAGCTTACTACGTCGGAGAACGTGGAAGGAGGGGCGAGGGAGGCGGGAGGCGAAGAAGTGCCGGCCATGATGGAGGCAATGGTGCGGGAATGGATCGAGAGCGCGATAGAGTCCGAGGGAGCAGGGGAGAGGATCTCGGGGGAAGGGAAGGAGGACATGGATGTTCTAGCTGCTGATGATCATCGTCGCTCGTTCTTCGAGTGCGATCTTGCTTCGCTGGATGTGGAAGAGGCAGAGAGCTTGAGGGTGGAGGTGTTGAGAGAAGCGAGCAAGGCAGACCGCTCCTGGACGGAGTTGATACAGGAAGGAGCATCTCGCAGCGACATACAGAGAGCTGAGAAGGTTGCTAAGATGCTGCGGGCGCGTGCGGAAGAATTCTTGCTGGAGATCTCTGAGAAGAGGCGGAGGAGGGCGGAAGGAGGAGGAAGCAGAACGGAGGAAGGGAAGGCTGGGGAAGTGCTGCAAGTGGGGGTCAGAACGAGGCAAGAGGAGCAAGAGGAGCAGGATAGTTTGAGAGTGCGGGAAGAGGCGAAAAATGGCGGTGGAAGGGAGGGCAGTGCGGAAGATGAGAAGGGGGAGCAACGCGATGAAGATTTGGTCACTGGTCTTCCTGCTGCCCTTGCCATGGCGGATGAAAGAGGAATGGGTGAAGGAGAGAAGGTGAGAGAAGAAAAGCAGGAGGAGCAGGAGCGTGAGGACGAGGAGGAGCAGGAGGAGGAGAAGCCGAAGGAGGGAGAGAGGAAGGGCCAGTCGAAAACGACATCGTTTGCAAGCCAAGATCACGGAAGAGGAGCGAGGAATCAGAGCAAGTCTGGAATGAGCTCGACGATCATGGAAGCAACTCAGCGCAAGAGCTTGAATAAGACTTCTGCTTCCGCCATGTCGACGCTGTCCAAGAGCTCAGCAGCAGCCAAACTGAACAAGCTGCTCAAGGAGCGGCAGGAGCTCGCAAAGAAATCACTGAAGCTCGACCTGAGCAATGCTAGTCTCAAGGAGATCCCTCCCTCCATCTTCAGCGACGTTCGGATCACCAGCATCCGCATCCTCTGGCTAGAGTACAACATGATCGCTACCCTCCCTGAGGCCATTGGGGATATCCGTTTCTTGACTCAGATCAGGTTGAACAACAACCAGCTGAAGAGCCTCCCTGCAAGGATAGGAGATCTTGACTTGCTGCAGATTCTGATGCTTCAGAGCAACTCCATCGCTACGATCCCAGCACAGATCGAGCGGCTTCAGAGCTTGACGCACCTCTCGCTCCAGGACAACCCGCTCACTGCCCTGCCAGTCGAGCTCTCCCGCCTTAGGAGGATGAAGAAGCTTGAACTGAGCCCCGACCATCTCTCGTTCCCTCCTCCCTCCATCTCAGCCCTCGGGACTAAGAAGATTGTCGAGTTTCTTCGCAGAGCTGACATCGCCTGGACGACTCAGGTGCTGGACTTGTCTGGTCTGGATCTCGAAGTTCTTCCTGTCGACATCATCCACCTGTTCCCAAGGTTGCAGGAGCTGTACATCAACATGAACAAGATCGACTTGTTCCCGCTCGAGTTCCACGTGATGACGACACTGGTGGAGATCAGGCTCGACAGCCATATCATGCGTTCTCCCTCTATGGAGATCTGGAGTTTCGGCATACAGACAACCTTGGAGTTCATGAGACGAGTCACGAGCTGTGAAAAAACGCAGGAGATGGAACTGAGGAGGTGGAATCTGACTTCTGTCCCCCAAGAAGTTTTCCTCAGCCAGCATGTGACCGTCTTGACGGCCCTTGACCTCCGACAGAACGGGCTCCAGCACTTGCCGGAGGAGTTCGGAATGCTGACGTCACTGACTGAGTTGTACCTTGACTCCAACTTGCTCGACGCTCTTCCCTCCTCCCTGTTCCGACTGACGAGTCTGAAAGTTGCCTCTTTCACCATGAACCGCATCCACACCATCGCCGACAAGTTTCAACGGCTGTCAAACCTCTCCAGTCTCAGCCTCGACTGCAACGAGCTCAGCCAGCTGCCGTCGAGCTTGTACAAGCTCAGCTCTCTCGATCAGCTTTCGTTGTCCTCGAACAGGCTGTGTGCTGGACTGGAGGGGCTGGCGGACCTGGGCAGTCTACGAAAGTTGAACCTGATGGACAATCTGATTGATCGCCTCCCCTTGTCCTTCTCTCAGTTCACAAACTTAAGAGAGATCGAGATCGAAGGCAACATAGTCTGGAGCCCTCCCAAGGATATCCTTGCTCAGCCGTTCTTGACCTGGTTCTCTTACCTCCACCAGCTGTCGGCGGCGAGGGAGCAGCAGGAGTGTTTCATCTCCGACCATCTCTACGTTGGTGGCGTGCTGAACCTCGCAAAGTTCGGGTTGTCTGTGTTCCCTCCTGAGATCACCATCGCTGGCAGCGAGTTCTTCGATTTGATCGAGATGAATCTCGACTCCAACTTCATCTCTTCTCTCCCCCGAGACTTCTCCAAGTTGTCAAACCTCACCATACTCTCCATGCGTGAGAACCGTTTCCGAACCCTCCCCAAGTCGCTGGGCAAGTGCTTCAGCCTTGCCGAGATCAACTTCGAGAACAACCTCCTGACGTTCCTCCCTCTTGACATCGGCAACTTGACTGGGCTGAAGAGGCTCAAGCTGGACGGCAACAACCTGACCCATCCTCCCCTCGAGATCGTCAAGCTCGGCATCCCAGCCATGATCAGGTTCTTGAAGCTGTTCGCCGAAGCTTCTTCCAACGGGGAAGTGGCGATGTCCGGGTGCGATCTGAAGAGCTTTCCCCTGGCCATTGCGGACGTGGAGGACATTAAGATTGTCGACTTGTCTCACAACTACATCGGCAGGATCCCCGCAGAGTTCTTCACTTGCTCGACGATTGTTCAGTTGGATCTCTCTTACAACAGTCTTGATGAGATCGAGTTGGAGATGAGGAGGATGGTATCGCTGCGAACGCTCAACCTCGCTGGCAACAGACTGAAGGAGTTTGCAAGCAGCTTCCTGCAACTCACCAACCTGGTGAACTTGTTCCTTAACATGAACATGATCGACTGTGTTCCAGCTAGCGTACAGCACATGACTTGGCTGAAGCTTTTGAACTTCTCAAACAACAAGATCGGCAGTCTTCCGCTCGAGATCGGCAAGTTGAACAGTCTCAAGACCTTCATCATGTCTTACAACCTCCTCACGACTCTCCCTCCTACCATCGGCGGCATGACAGCGCTGACAGAGTTGTCGGTCTCCAACAATCAGATCACAAGGTTGCCGCCGATCCTCGGAGTGATGACCTCGTTGACGGAAGTGAACATACAAGACAATTTCCTCGATCAACATCCTGTTGAAGTTGTTGAACATGCTCTTGTCATGCAGCAGAAGACCAAACAATGGCACAACGGAATTTCGGCTACCAACCCGCTCGCCATGTGGCTCTCGAGGCTGCGGACTGCCCGCGTCACCAAGGAGTTTGACGCGAGCAACTTTCGACTTGAGGTCATCCCAGCTGAAATCCTGCTGTCCACCAACTTCCAGCTGCTCCAGCTGAAGCTCGAGCTCAACAGGCTGTCAAACATCCCACCTGAGATCTCCCGCCTGTCAACTTTGACGTTTCTCAACTTCTCTCACAACCAGCTGAGGACTCTCCCTCCCAGCATCGGAACTCTGAGCAACCTGACTGTGTTGTACCTCAACGACAACAAGCTCACGCGGCTCCCCATAGAGCTCGGGCATCTCTCTCCCACCATGTTGTCCAGGTTGTCAATCTCCAACAACAGGCTCGAGACTCCCCCAGCTGAGATGAGATCAGCAAGCACAGCTCACATCCTCCGCTACTACCTGACGAGCGAAGTCGCCATGATCACTGGCGTGCTGGACTGGAGCTGGTGCAGGACCCTGACGACGATGAAGGCGATCTGTGCGGAAGTGCTCGGGTGGAGCAAGTTGATCAGGGTGAACATGGACGGGAACGATCTGACTGTCATCGACAGCAGCATCTGTCTTCAGATGCCTCACCTGGAAGTGCTGGAGGTCAGGAGAAACCGTATCTCCTCCATCCCCCATGACCTCAGCACACACTCACGGCTGCGAACCCTGGCAGTGTCTCAAAATCGCATCAAAGTTCTTCCACGATGCCTTGCAAGGATGCGGAGCTTGACATCGCTGGAGATCCAAGGGCTCCCATTGACGTCACCTTGTAACGAGATCACCAGGCACTGCACAGAGAACATCCTGGCGTACCTTGCGAGCATGCTCGAAGCAGAGGACGAGCAAGTCTGCATTCTCAGCGACTTCTTCCTCTCTGAGATCCCTTCGGAGGTCTTCCAGCTGACGTCCTTGCGATGCCTTGAACTGAACAGGCTGGAGCTCACTTCGCTCCCTCCGCAACTCACTCTCCTCACCGACCTGACCTCCCTGTCCTTCTCACAGAACCGCATCGACGACCTCCCTATCTTCCTCTCCTCCCTGACCAACTTGACGGAGCTGGAGCTGGTTCGGAACAAGGTCCCTGTGCTGTACCCAGAGCTGCATGCTCTTAGCAACCTTGTCACCTGGAACGTCTTCTCGAACCCAGTGGTCTCTCCTCCCTTCGAGATAATCAAGACCATCCTGCCAAGGAGGGGGGAGGCAGCGCAGACAGAAAGCAGGCAGGGGAGGGAGGGGCCGTCCCCGCACGTGGTCCTCTCCTTCCTAAAAGCCTTGTACACAGCTCGGTCCTCTCGCTCCCTCTCCCTCAAGAGCTTCGAGCTGATCCAGTGGCCGAGGGAGAGTTACAACCTTGTCGAGCTGAGAGAGGTTGTCATGGACAGCAACTTGCTGCGGGTTATCCCCGACGGGATCTCGACGCTGAGCAACTTGACGTCTTTGTCGCTGGTTGACAACCACATCAAGATCATCTCAGAGAAGATGGCAGAGCTGGCGAGCTTGACATACCTCAACCTGGAAGGAAACAAGCTCGAGGCTATGCCTGCCTTCATGGACTCGTTCCCCTGTCTCCGAGACGTTTCCTTCGCCAACAACTCCCTCACCGTGTTCGCTCCGAGCATCTTCAAGTGCATCATGATCGAGAATCTGAACATCAGGGGGAACAGGCTGACAGAAATCCCACCAGAGATCGCGCTGCTGAAGAAGCTGTCAGTCCTCGACTACAGAGACAACGCCATCATCTTTCCGCCCGAAGACATCCTCTCCCAGGGCCTCACCGTCATGATGCGCTTCTACGACAACATCCTCAGCTGTGCTCCCGCCTGCTCCTTCAGGGACATGCTGGCTGACGCCGAAGGGGATCGGCTCAACCTCGACAGCTTCTCGCTCGCTCGCCTCCCCCTCATCGTCTACCGCGGCCTCCCCCGCCCCGGCGAGGAGTGGAGCGAGCAGAGGGTGAGGAGAGACAGGTGGGCGTACGGTATGACCCAGCTGGTCAGCCTCTCCCTCTCCTGCAACTTGCTCGAGGAGCTTCCAGAGGGCATCTCTCGCTTCGCCCAGCTGACCTGCCTGCTGGGATCGCAGAACGAGCTCCGGCTCGTCCCTGACACCATCGGCAGCCTGACGGGCCTCCGGCTGCTGGACCTCCACCGCAACAAGCTCCAGCACGTGCCCAGCAGCATCTCGAGGCTGTCAAGTTTGACGGTGCTAAACCTGTCACAGAATCGCCTGCAGCAGCTGCCGGAGGGCCTTGGCCACCTTCCTCAGCTGAAATCCCTGCTGGCCCACCAGAACCTTATCTTCTCACTGCCCATCGACCTGTGCCAGAGCGACTCCATGAAGGAGCTGACGGTCCACGACAACCCGCTCAGGATGCCTCCTCCCGAGATCGTCGCCAGGGGCCTGCGATCAATCCTTGACTTTCTCTCCCGCCTCTTCCGCTGCCAGACGTCGAACACGCTCGACCTCCGAGCCCTCGAGCTTGAGTCTATCGACTACGAAATCCTCCCCATCCCCAACCTCGAGCGGCTGCTGATCGCCAACAACAGGATGCAGTCGTTGACCGGAAAGGTGTCAGAGGGCAAGGAGGAGGAGGAGCAGTCTTCCCCTGTCCACGGCAAGCAGCCGAGCAAGGGGAAGTCGGCGCAGGGGGCTGGAGCGAACGCCCAGCTGGTCAGTCTCAAGTACCTCAACGCAGACTACAACTGCCTCCGCTCGTTTCCTGCCTCCATCACTGCTCTAACGTCTCTGACGGAGATCTCAGTCATCAGCAACCAGCTTGTCTCCTCCCCGACAACCTCTACCTTCTCACCAACCTGACCCGTCTCAACGTCGTCGGCAACCCCATCGCCTCCCTCCCGCTCGAGATTGGCTGGATGACCAACCTCCTCAAGCTCGACATCGACCTAGAAAAGTTGCAAACTCCTCCTCCCGAGATCAGCCTTGCGGGGTTCCCTAGGATCCAGAAGTACTTCGATGCTATCCTGCGCAGCAGAGCAACTTCGAGCGTCGAGCTCATGGGGACCAACTTGCTCCACGTTCCGCAGGAAGTGCTGGGGCTGACGAGCCTGACGCGGCTGGTGCTGTCAAAGAACTCAGTGGAGGAGCTACCAACTGCTCTCACGCTCATGTCAAGAATGCGGGACCTGTGGCTGTCCTATAATCGGATCCGGCGGCTGCCGCGGGAGCTCTGCGAGCATCTGGCTCAGCTGCAGTCGTTGAGGCTGGACAACAATGACATAACCATCATCCCCGTCCAGGTAGGAAACTTGACAAGCCTGACGGAGCTCTGGCTCGAAGGGAACAACGTCACGATCCTCCCGCTGGAGATGGGCAACCTCTACCTCCTGGACGCGCTGACGTTAGACGTGGCTGAGATGGTGTCGCCCAACCCAGAAATCTGCGAGAGGAAGGCGAGTCTTGTGGTTAGGTACCTCAATGCTATCTACCAAGGAAGGGAATCGAGAGTGGTTGATCTGAGAGGGCTGGGACTGAAGTCGTTCCCTGTGGAGATCTATTCCATCCCCAGCATCACCTCCCTCTACCTGGACGGCAACTACTTCTCCTCCCTCCCTCCCAGCATCGAGCGGCTCACTGACCTTACCGACCTCTCGCTCAAGAACTTACAGCTCCAGTCGCTGCCGTTTGTCATGGGTGCGATGACACGCCTTGTCAAACTTTCCCTACCATTCTCGCGCTACATGGTCAACCCTCCATACGAGATTCTGCTGCAGGGAACCATGGCTACCCTAGCGTACATCCGCAAGTCCTACTTATGTGTGAAGGAGACAGGGTACATGAACATATCAGGACTGTCACTGCAGCGACTGCCCGAGGATATTATCACACTTGAGAACCTGCAGCATCTCCAAGCGCGGGACAACAAGATCATGTTCTTGTCAAGCTCGATTGGCAAGATGCAGGATCTAAAAGTTCTTCACATGCACAACAACGGGTTGCTGTACCTTCCGGCCGAGATCGGCAACCTGCAGACACTGATCGAGCTCAGGATACCCTTCAACGAGATCAAAGTGCTGCCGGCTGATATCAAGCACTGTTTCAACCTCAGGAAGCTCTCTCTACAACACAACCTCCTCTCCACCGTCTCCGCCGATGTTCTCCAGAGCCTGACAAACCTCGAGTCTCTCAACATCTCGAGGAATCAGATTGTCTACGTCCCCGGGACCGTCGGGTGTCTGCACGCGCTGCAGAAGCTGCGCATGGACCAGAACCAGGTCCGATCGCTGCCGTCGGAGATCGGAGGATGTTCCTCCCTGACGCTGCTCTCGATCACCTGCAACCAGTTCTCCTCTCTTCCCGACGAGCTCTCCTCCTGCTCCCTCCTGACGGCCCTCCACATCTCAGGGAACCGCTTCTTCCAGCTCCCCCGCTGCATCGAGAGTCTCAAGAGACTCCGGCACCTTTGGGCCTCCAACAATGAAATGCAGGGGCTGCCTACCTTCCTTGCCAACCTACCTGCGCTCTTTGAACTTCAACTGCAAGGCTGCCCTGATCTGAAGTTCCCTCCTCCCGACATCCTACTCCAAGGACGCCAAGTCATCGTCGACTATCTTGTTTCCAACATGCGCTATGA